GGGAAAAAGGGAAAACAAATAACTATAAGTTGCATTATAGAACATGTGATAGAAGAGAAAGTTAAGTAGAGGGTAGAATAGAAGACATATAATCTTTTAGTTATAAGCAAGGAAGTTTCTTTCTGAATTTTAAATGGGAAAAATGTCAAAAGAGAAATCAAGAATAAAATCTAGCAAAAGAAATGGCAGCACAGTTAGCATTTTAGAGGAATGTGACAAATTACTCTGAGTGGTAATGAGAATGTTTTGAGGAAATGAAATAATTAGCTGTTTTCGGGAACCACAATTCCTAAATTGAGTTTGATGACTAGTACTAATTGATGATTAATGGTTGAACATTTTCCACCTTGCAAGCACTAAATAATATGATTGACTGATATGTCACTTATGAAATACAGAGTAACATTTATAAAGCAATTATACAAGTAATATGTGAGTGGGAAAGCTATGGGCATCTGAAGATCCTATTGAAATAGAAAATAAATAACAAGAACAATAATAATAACCCATACCTTTTCTGTGTCAATGCCTTTTGACATAGACCATGTTGAGACAATATAATCCATGACTCGTTCACTAAGGCCTTTGGGGACCTGATAGAGTTTCAGAAAGTCCCGTACATTATTCAGCATCTCATGGTACCGGTTGGTGTTGGCATACATTTGCTGGAAAATTGTGGTAACATTTCCAAAAATAGTTGCATAAAGAAGAGCTGAAAGAGAAGAAATGATGAAAATAAATCAACTATCCCAAGTGGAAAAAAAATGAGGTGAATATAGGTGAAATCAATGAATCACTTGACAGAGATGCCTTTATAAACTTTTCGGCATATGCATGGTAACCCCTGAGCAGAGTGCCCAGAATTTGGTGTTCACTCAATAAGTGTTATCTTTAGTATGATAAACATGATTTTATGAGTGTGCACTACTCTAGTCATTGTGGTAAAACATGAGAGTGGTTGATAGATTTCATGAAGAATTAGATGATCCAAGGTTATGATTTGCCTAAGACATTCTTAGCCTTATGACTAAAGTTATCCTCCAGCCCTGTCCTCCTGAATGAAGCCTAATCAATTTAAATTTTTGAGAGATTGATGATCCAGTTTAGAAATGTATGCTCTTTCTCACTGCTTGCTTCGTCCAGCTTTTGGATTACTTCCCTGCTTATCAATATTTTCGAAAGAACATCAGAAATATAGGGAGGGAAGACAAATCAAAGTTTTCCATTTCTAGAAGATTCTAGAGAGAAACAGCATTGGAATTAACAGTTAAAATGAAACTTTGGGAGTGCCTGAAAATTCTAGTGATTAAATTTATGTCAGTAACCCAGTATCATAAGGCTTTTTTATTTCATTATTTTAATTAAGAATAAAGTCAATCTGCAAACCATTGTTATTCATCTACAGTGGCTAGGAAAGGAATAGGGTTTTTTAATGCCCCTGACTGCTACTCTCTCCCTCAACCCATAATTTACCAACTCTTCTCTCTCCAGATCTGGCCAGGTTACTAATGTTGACCTGATCTTGAAAAAGCTTTTAAAAGCAATTGAGTTCAGCCCCAGATCAACACACCTTCAATCACACACCACTCCCAGCCTATCTTGCCCCTTTGATTTTACTCCTTTGTTTAACAGTAAGCTCTTTTGAAAAGAGGGCAATATTTTATTCCCCTTAATATTCAGTAAACACAATGTTTAGTAACCACATTCATTCCATAAGCATTTCACAAACAAGTGGAATATCAGACAGTGATCACTTCCATTCTTGTTACTCTAAGCATTTGAAAAATTACTCGTCTAAACAAAAAGTATGGACTGTTTTATTTCACAGTTTCATCAACCAAATCCCACTTGATGGAATTAGTATAACAACAAGCCAGTGAAGCAACTTAAGATCTTCAATCTATTTTCAGAAAATCATTTGTTTTTTAAATAACAGTTGCTCTTTGAGTACAACAAATTATAATTTCACAATAGGAAGCTATGATTTTACAAGCATTTACTCAGTTTTTTTTGTTTTTTTTTTTTGTTTTTTTGGGGGGTGTTTCAGCTGTTATTTAGGGATTTTGATGACTGTGAAGAATAATTTTTTAGATAGATGATGTTTTGTTAGAACTGACTAGGAAGAATATAGTGCTGACATTTCCCATCTGGGTCTTTAAATCTTTGTTTATATTTAAAAACAACAAAAAAGTAGAGGTAATCACAGACTTAACATTCTATTCCATCATTGTTGGCATTAAGAAAGACGAACACAAAAATAATGTGAACAAATTAATGGTAGAAGAACCATGCAACAAATGGAATTTTGCATTTCCTGAAAAGAGACATAAAGAGGATTTATGTTTTTAAAATAATGAGCTTTTTAGAGGTTAATGAAATAATGCTACAATCATGTTTTTCAATAGATAGTCCCCAGCTATTTTAAGTTGTCAGTAAATATCACAGAACTATTATTTTGACGTGTTCAACTCATTTGTCTCCCTAAAATGCCTGTAATATGCTATATTTGCCAAAGTGTCTTACTACTGCCTTTTAGCTTAACAAATTACCATACATTTCATCTTTGGGGGTACATTAAATATGCACACATTCTAATCATATGAAAAGCTTAAGTACTAAAATATGAATGAAACTGCCAATGTGGGCTTCCCTGGTGGCGCAGTGGTTGAGAGTCCGCCTGCCGATGCAGGGGACATGGGTTCGGGCCCCGGTCGGGGAAGATCCCACAGGCCGCGGGGTGGCTGGGCCCGTGAGCCATGGCCGCTGAGCCTGCGTGTCCGGAGCCTGTGCTCCGCAACGGGAGAGGCCACAACAGTGAGAGGCTCGCATACCGCAGAAAAAAAAAAAACAACTGCCAATGTATTTAACATTTTCAGCATTAATAAATGAAGAATACAATCAACAACACATTAAGTTTGGTATATTACAAGGATATTTTCTGCCTCCAACTTTCATGTGAGTTTGGTGTCCTGCACTTGGTAGGGCTAATCAAAGTCACAATTTAAGGTAAGACATTCAATTATATATATAAGTATATATACATATATGTAACACACATAATTATATATACACATATACATAATTATGCATATAATTTTTTACCTTGAAATGTTAAAAAAAATCATGCAGAAAGTTCATATACCCACATGTAGCTCTCTCAATTATGACATCTTACAAAACTATAGTAATTTATCAAAACCAGGCAATTGACAATGGCACAATACAATTAACCAGACTATAGACATATATTTCAGCATTTTTTTTACATGCAGTCATTTTTTTTGGTGTACAGCTTTATAAAATTTTATCACATGTACAGACCCATGTAATATATGTATATTTTTAAAAAGAGAAACCACTTCTTCCTTAAAAATATTTTCCACATTTAGGACTAGTAGACATTTCATAAAATATAGTAACAGCAAGTATGATATTCCATAGTAAGCAAAAATACTGCTTCCCACCACAGTCTGTGTTCTCAGGATAAATGGGTACATCTTTAATGAGAGTGACCCTGGGACATGACACACGATAATGAAAGAAATTGATCTTAGTAGAAACTAGCTCTATGCTGCTAACTCCCAAAGTAATACCTATCCCCTGAAGTACAGACACACAAGCCTTCTTGAATGTCTCATTGCCATTCAAATCTAACAAGTCCAAAAGAGAACTCTTATTTTATACCACCTTCTCTTCAACAACCAAATGCACTTTTCATCTCATTAAATTGTAAAGCCACACCTAGTTGCTCAGACCAAAACTAAAGCATCATTCTTCAATTCATTCTTTGATTCATCTCCTACCTCTACTCTATCAACAATTCCTATTGGCTCTCCCTTCAAAATAGAGCCTCAGTACAACCCCTTCCCACTACCTCTACCAGCATTCTTGCATCCTTTAAGAGTGTATGCTTTTCCACTTACTAGCTATCTGTCTTTGGGCCAGTTGCTAATCTCTCTAGGATTCTACTATTTCCTCTCTTACAACTTTACAGTTATTTTAGAATCTTTACAAAGGAGTTGTGCTAAATGATATAACATATAAATCAGTTTTTAAAAAGTCCAGTAGGGAGTAAGTATCTATGAAATGTTATGTATGTATCATCGTCGTCATCATGATCAACATCATCATCATCATCATCATCATCATGGAAATAGCTCCCAAACAATTTTTCACTCAGCAGAATGAATATCCCCTTCCTTCAATACAACTCTCTACCCCCTTACTATACCTGTGTTCTTAATCTTATTTATCACTACTTTAATTTACATTACACATTTATTTATTTGCTTGTTGATATCTACCTTCCCTATTAGAAATGCAAAATCTGTAAGTACAGGCCTGGGCCTTGTCCTTTTGGCTCACTGCTGTATTTCCAGAATACAGACCAGTTCCTGGAACATAATGAGTATTCAGATATTTTTTCCTGTAAGTTCACACACTAAAACCCTAGGAAACATTTTTTCAGAAACACCCTTTTTTTTAAGTCAAACTTCACTACTGGCGATACAAAAACATAGAAGGAATACACACTATTAATGCACGTGAGAGAATAAAATATTTCGAAGCTAAGGTGACACATACCTTGGCCATGTTAAGATAATAAATAAATTAAGAAGGCCTATTGTCATTCATCAAACATGAATGCTCATGCTTGGCCTGGCAAGTTTTGCAGAGTACTATTATAGAATTTTACCCTTTGAATGGGATGCCATAGACGTAATTTGCCTACTTTACTAGGAATAATTAGAATAATCTGTTAAAATTTGATAAGCCTTTTATGTCCTCTCCTGTAGCCTTTTAAGCTTAAGACAACTTAAGACAAGCTAATTTTATAAGCTTATCATTTAATGAATTGGTAATTCTGGCATATACACTAGTAAATGTCTTATCTAAAAAGTCTTATATTTTTCTTATTCACCACAAGGGGATTATTTTAAAGATAATTATGTTAGATTAAAGATGGCTACAAATTCTCTGACACCCCTTCCATTGACAGGCAGGGTCTATATTCCTTTCCCTTGAATCTAGGCATACTCTATAACTATTTTACTAATAGACTACGGTAACTATAATCATATGCCAATATCTGGGCCCAAGCCTTAAGAAACTAGAAACTTCCAATTCCTCACTGTTAGAACACCTGCTCTTAGAATCTAGCTTCCGTGTTGTGAGGAAGCCCATTCTTCTAGAAAGTTCCACATGGAGAAGAATTAAGGCCCCTGGTCAATAGTCTTGGCTGAGCTCCCAGCTAAGCACTGGCCTTAGGCTGAACAATTTAAAATATTGATATAAGAAGACATTTCTGGTAACACTTAAGGCTGTGCAGGTGGTTCAACCATCACTTCCCTTTCTATTTATATTCATATTTAATAAGGATAGTTAAGATAGGAAGGAAAACGTCCTATCAATCTATGATTGTATGTGCAGCACACAGCTTGACAACATCAGCTTACCAGCCATGTATGTGGCTGAGCCAACTAAGAAGTGAATTTTTCAGACCCATTCAAGCCATCCCAGCTGATAACACATGGACCAGAAAGCCATGCCTTCCTGGACCTGCAAAAGTTACAGATTCATGAGTGAAATAAATGGCTGTTCTTGTTTTAAGCCACTAATTTTGATTAGTTATGCAACTTTAATATTCTAATAAGTAGTTTTATTAATAGCCTAATAAAACAGATTGATTCTCAACTGATTAGAAAACCTGGG